CAAAAGTCTTGCGATGGTTGTAAGGTGTGTGCCCAGCGTAATAAATGTTCTGAGAAATAAAGAACCCTATAATAAATGAGGGGGGAGGGGCACCGAGAACCCCCTCACACACCAGCAGCGTCTGAATATTCCCGCCGTCGAGAGGTGCTGCGGTGCGCGGAGTTGGATTATTGAATGTTTTAATTAGTGATTCCGTTTTTTTTAATACATTTTGGATATCATTGTTTCCGCGTCACTCTAGATAGGCAGAGCCAGCTGTCACTCACGCAGCTGGGCGGATCCCGACATAATTGTCGGGATCCGCTTCAGCTGCGGCGTCTCAGTATACCGCGAGCTGTAGCTCCCTATATACTGAGCCTAGGGTAACGGGAGGACGCTAGTTTGTGTCCTCCCGTCACCCTAAGGAGAACTATGGGGAAAAGCCCTGACCCCATAGTTCTCCTTTAACATCTTTTGGCAGGAAACAGTTGCCATTCATATATTTTGAATGTGTATTTAGCTGTTCGCTTGGAGTTCAGCTTTAAATAGCGAGAGTCACAAAACTTTTCATGGCTGCAGTTGTTTTTTTATCTACCATTGAAGGAGCTTTGACATTGTCAGATACGAGGGTCACAAAAATAATATTTTTTTCTCTTTTTGCCGCACATTCAATAATAAGAAAAAAAAAAATCAACTTTTCCCAAAACAACCATACAGGGGTACAGGTACTCTTAAAGGAGAACTATGGGGTTAAGGCTTTTCCCCATAGTTCTCCTTAGGGTAACGGGAGGACACAAACTAGCGTCCTCCCTTCACCCTAGGCTCAGTATACCGCAAGCTGTAGATATATAGTGAGACGCCGCAGCTGAAGCGGATCCCAGCAATTATGCCGGGATTCGCCCAGCTGCTTGACTGACAGCCGGCTCTGCCTATCTAGAGGCAGAGCCAGCTGTACCCGCCCCCTCCCCCGTCCGTTCCGCCAGTCAGCGCTGGCGGATCGCAACGGGGAGGAGGGAAACCAGCCCCTCCCCTGTCACGGCAGAGAGCCGTGACAGGATAGAGAGGTGAGCGAACGCCGGCATGTGTTCGCTCACTTCCCGATCTACTGAGCCGACCTGTGACAGTCTCATTGTCACAGGTCGGTTCTCCTTTAAGAACAAGATCACACATGGACTCATACACATGCAAACACCTACAGAATCACATACATACACGCAATGGGTTGGACTTGATGGGCCTGTGTCTTTATTCAACCTCAAATACTATGTAACCAACCGGCTGCAGTACAATTCTCTGCGGTGTAAAAGCGATCGCTCGGATGTTCCGGAGGAGGCGGGATGTTTTCTGTGACCAAACAGGCTCTGTACGGCGCGTCTGCATTTGTTGTATCATTAGATTGTCAGCTCTTTTATTCCCAGAGACAATGGTTCTATGTCGTACTATGGAATAATGACGGAAGTTCTTCTAAGTCGTCCGCATTCCCAGGTCATTGAGTAATACTATTTACTTACAGGGCTGCGTGGAGCCCTGTGTATGGAGCCGGGTGCCGGGGAGTGAGGGGTTAATACATTGTGTATGTTGTAAAGGAATGACAAGGCCGTGTGTGCGTTCCATGTGTGACAGCTGCTTCCTCACCTGTCATCTCCGTCTGGGCTTCATACCTGGAGCAGACAAACTCCAATCGGATGGATACAGGACGGAAATATCACCGTGCAGGAATGTTTGTGTCGTCCCGTTACCCTAAGGAGAACTATGGGGAAAAGCCCCTAACCCCATAGTTCTCCTTTAAAGCTGAACTCACGGGCTGAGCACAAAATCTTTCATTTAAACAAATTCCTCAATAGCCAGGGTATAAATCCACTTCATGTGCACCAAATGACTTTGCGGACCCAGATATTACCTTGTGTAAGTAAAAGTGACATCATCACTGTGCTGTACATAACCTGTGAAGAGGGCAGAGCTGTGGGAGGGACACAGCAGGCTCCACCCACTACAGAAAACTATAGGGGGGGGGGGTGATAGAAGACCAGTTAACCCTGCACAAGTAGAGAGAGAGCAGCAGTGACCGGTCTTTATTACAGGAGGAGGCGGAGACCAGACCAGTCACCCTGCACAAGGTGAGAGAGAGCAGCAGTGACCGGTCTTTATTACAGGAGGGGGTGGAGGCAAGACCAGGCTCCCTACACAAGGAGAGAGAGCAGCAGTGAGTGGTCTTTCTTACAGGAGGTGGGCGTAGACAAGACCAGGCTCCCTACACAAGGAGAGAGAGCAGCAGTGAGTGGTCTTTCTTACAGGAGGTGGGCGTAGACAAGACCAGGCTCCCTACACAAGGAGAGAGAGAAGCAGTGAGCGGTCTTTATTACAGGAAGCTCCGAGTCTCACACTGGATGACTGCGCAGATCTGGAAGAAATACGCAAATCTCCCCGAGATTCCAGAACAATACACAGGACTCTGGTATGAAGACGATGTTTTCTGACTCTGAAATCAAGTACCTGAATTAGTATTGCACTCAGCCTCCTATATTCTCTATGCTAGGCAGAGGGCCAGTACCAGCAGCCGATCGAGCTCTGCCGTAATGCACATGTGCTGACCATACCCAGGCGCTTGAGTGAACCCCATGAGCAGAGTGATGACTGATTCCCGTGCTGTCCTCTTATTGATCAGTTACCAGGCCGGAACCGTGCTTTTGATGAAACTGTTTCTCTGCTGCAGTGAAGGTAGAGTGTCTGGCTGTGCTGTCTAATAGGAGAGTCACAAAAGGGGAGGTGTTCTTTAGTCCTGTTCTACGGTGACAACGCTGCCCCTCCATAAATACAGTACAGCGAGTGATCGTTGTCACCCCCAGGACAAGAAATGTAACTGGCGGAGTCACCCGGTGAAAAGAAAAAGGGAAATGAGCCTGAAAAGAAAACGAATGCAGCCGCCATGTCTCAGGACGGCTCGGCTGCAGTATAGGACATCCTTCTTCCGGGGATCACTGGTTACATGTGACACAAATGTTTCATTTCGGATATATTTGGTCAGCTGGTTTTCTGATCAGTAAGAAAAGTTATTTTTGGTGTCGCCGGTCCTCGGGGGGCTTGGTGGCGTTCTACTCGGAAAAGCGGGGTCCTGTGACCCCGCCGCGCAGCGACAGCTGGACTCCGCCCTCTGCTGTGTTTTCTTAGCCACCAGAAAAGATGCGACAACGTCGGGAAGAGACGGAAATGTTTGTGTTTTGTTTGGAGGCGCTCGGTGGATGCAAACAGCGATCAGATCCAAACAGAACTCCCCACTCCCCCGCACAGAATCCCGCTCTGTTTTTTGTTATTTCTGACCCGACTTTCTGGTGTCTGACGGCAAAAATATTTGTGACCTCAACAAGAAGAGTTACAGTGTCTCTGACCCCAAGACACGCAGAGGGGAAGTTTAATCTGGTTATATTTTGACCTTCCCTGGTTCCTCCTCCCCGCCCCTCCCCCGCAAATATAAAACCTTTCCTTTTTCATTACATTATATTATACCTAGTGATGTCATTGCTGGGTCTCGGGGCTTCTCTATGAAATGCAGGCAGACTATGACTGGTGGGAGGGGCCGGCAGGGGGCTGTACATAGCTGCCTGGAAACATCACAGCATCCTGCATCAGTACTGCTCTTAAGAGCCCACAGCCCTGATACAAGCAGTGGGCTGGCTCTTGGGAGGGGTTATGCAAATATCAAAATGTCTTCATGGTGGTGTCGGTATGGAGGAGTGGGCAGTCCTAGGCAGACTGTATTTGCGTGAAAACTGACCAAGATAAAGCCCATGCGTGACCCTGCATAACCCTTCCTTATATCCATAACTCCTCCCCCTCCTCATCTTTATAAACCCTCCTTGTCTCTCCCTCATCTCCATAACTCCTCCTTATCTCCTCCCCCTCCTCATCTCCATAACTCATCCTTATCTCCTCCCACTCCCCATCTCCATAACTCTTCCTTATCTCCTCCCCCTCGTCTTCTCCATAACTCCTCCTAATCTCCTCCCCTCCTCATCTCCATAACTCATCCTTATCTCCTCCCCCTCCTCATCTCCATAACTCATCATTATCTCCTCCCACTCCTCATCTCCATAACCACTCCTTGTCTCCTCCCACTCCATGTCTCCATAACTCCTCCTTATCTCCATAACTCCTCATCTCCTCCCCCTCCTCTCCATAACCCCCCCTTATTTCCTCTCCTCCTCATCTCCATAACCCCTCCCTATCTCCTCCTCATCACCATAACCTATCCTTATCCCCTCCTCATCTCCATAACTCATCCTTATCTCCTCCCCCTCCTCATCTCCATAACTCATCATTATCTCCTCCCACTCCTCATCTCCATAACCACTCCTTGTCTCCATAACTCTTCCTTATCTCCATAACTCCTCATCTCCTCCCCCTCCTCTCCATAACCCCTCCTTATTTCCTCTCCTCCTCATCTCCATAACCCCTCCTTATCTCCTCCTCATCTCCATAGCCTCTCTTATCTCCTCATCTCCATAACCCCTCCTTATCTCATCCCCATAACTCCTTATCCCCTCCCCCTCCTCATCTTCATAACCTCTCCTTATCATCACCCTCCCCTTCTTGTGCACAGGCAAAGAGCACAGGAAATGGTCAGCTCACACGATTTCTGGCGGGATCAACAGGTATTTTTGGCACTTTATTGAACAGATATAACAAAATTACTCTAATAGTTTATCTAACAGACCAGAAGGGAGCAAAACATAGTTCATTTTTCAGGTTTATAATAGTGATTTGCTAATTGGGCACCAGAGGGAGCTCTGAGCGGCTCGGTGCAATGACTCTGTTTTATAATAGAAGCCCAGACCTCACAGAGAGCCATTTATACAACTTGCAGATGTTTCAGACTTACTAGCTCCCATCAGTGTATGACACGGACACCATGGCCTCCGTGGTGTAGGACTAGTGGAGCCAACAAGACAACGGAGGTCGGTCTTGTCATCTTAAACCTATATTGTGATCTGTCATCTTTTAACGCAGGATTTTCTCTCCTGCAGGCTCTGTCTCTGGAGTATGAGCTGCTGACATGGAGAGTTCGGGCCCAGTGAGCACAGCACACAAGAAGGAGACCAAAACGTCTGCGCTGGATGGGAACGTTTTCTCGGAGGTTGGGAAGAAGGCGGCCGTGCACACCACTTCGGCAGGAGGTAAAACGCACAACGCTGATTTTATGTCAATGTCTCCATGACCAACATTGTATCAGTTGTTTAGTGAGAGTGGAGTTACCCTCTAAGCGGAGTTACCCTCTAAGCGGAGTTTCCCTCTAAGCGGAGTTCCCCTCTAAGCGGAGTTCCCCTCTAAGTGGAGTTCGCCTTTAAGTGGAGTTTGCCTTTGGAGCAGAGTGACTTTTTTTTGTCATTTTGTTGTTTTTTTGCATTGTTTTCTCATGGCAGTGACCTCGCCGTCCTCTATCCTTCCGCTTATTATGGGATGATTATGAAAATTGGCGTTATTAGCCATTTACCTTTCCCTCCGTGATTGACAGCTGACGCTTTTGCTACAATGTTTCCTTCTTGTGAATGAATTTGCTTTTTGTTTCCATCT